CTTTTGGGGGCGGGCAAACGGCGCTTTCGAAACGCCTAAAGAGTGACATGCACCGGCTTTGGCAGGCAAGGCTGCGGTGCAGGCATGTGCAGCCAAAGGTCCCGGGAAGGGCTGTGGAGCCTGGCAAACGGCCCTGCCGGCTGCCGAGAGGCTTTTGGGGGCGGGCAAACGGCGCTTTCGAAACGCCTAAAGAGTGACATGCACCGGCTTTGGCAAACGCCTAAAGAGTGAGGCTGCGGTGCAGGCATGCAGCATGCGGCCAAAGTCGTTGGTGATGGCTTCTTGCTGCTCTGTCCCAGGCGCCGCCCCGCTTAGGCCATGGCTAAGCAGGGGGCGGCGGACATAATTTACATAATTTACATAGCTAAGTTACTTTGCTACTTCTATTGGTTTGTACGGAGCATGCTGGGTTCTGCTTTTAGCCCATCTCGAGGCAATAGTTGCTTGCAGATTAGACTACGCGTGGCATCCACTTTTTCAGCCTTCATAATTTTTGATAGATTTTTTCCCTACTACCCAAGCAGCTTTTGTTAGGGCATGCGGTGTCTTCCAGTGTTGCATTGCGTGTCCACATTTGTTTCAAGTCCAGTTCTTCGTGGACCCTTGTCCATTACTTCTCTTTGGTCATGACGCACAGCTTGCTTCGAAGAGCTTGAACTTTCCTCGCTGAAGTATAAACCCTCCAAGATTCTAGCACGCCCCACGGCTTCATCACCTTTCTTCCTTTTCTTTTTTGTTTCTAATAACGACGGCTCCAACCTACTAGCGATGGCCTCCAACCAAAAGGAAACCCCACATACTGGTTGTTTCTCTCCTAAGTTGATGCTGTATTCTTTTTTGCCTTTTTCATCAGATTTCAAGCTGTTTGTAAGCTGAATTCTGTAGAACAAGTGGGCCGACATACCAGTGGACGAGTCTTGCTACGTCAATGGCTGGAACCGTAGAAGCCGAAAGAGTCGACAGGGCAGGCAGCCGTGGATTGCGCAGAAGCTGTCACCTATGCCAAGGCTTAAGGTGTTCCATCCTATTTCTACTCATCCGCAGACCATACTGCGTAAATGGCGCTATTATGATCCATGGAATTGAATTTCCTGGAAGGATAGTCACGGATAGTCATCGGCATCATCATTAGTAGTCACTGGCATCATGTCCTCACCCGGTTGATTGAATATCCAGCCAGGAAGGAATACCTCCATGCTGGCGATCATGACCATACCTGAGAAACCTGCAGGTGCAAGCGCTAGCGTCGCTTAGAACCATCTGACACATCTGCCGAGCCGATCCAGTGGCCCAAGAGCCGAAGAACCCGAAGCCCATTAGTTCTTTTTGTTCAACGTACTAGCGATGACCTCCACCCTACTAGCGATGGCCTCCAACCTAGTAGCATTGTTTTTGCGCACTAGCTTTTGTGTGCTTCTTGTTACTAGTAGCTACTTGCTCCTAGTAGCGCGGCCCCTAGTAGCTTCTTGTTACTGGGAGTTTTGCTTTTGCTGTCCTCATCGCCTGGTGCCACGCTGTTGCGCCTAGAAGGACCTAGCATGTGGCACGCTCTGTGGCAAGATTCGTCTGCGATGTAGCTGTTGGTGGTGATGGATGATTGGTGATGAAGAACGCTACTAGTAGCTCTTGGCATTACTACTAGTAACTATCGCTCGTTGCGGACGCTCACCGTGAAACGGTGTCCGCTTTGTGCGAGACACACAGGTCTATGCACACCACGAAAGGACCCCAAACATGCACACCAATCAGGCCACAAGGGGGACCTGCCAGGATGCGAGGGTTCGCCCCGCACCCTGTGAAAAGAGCCACGCAATTTGTACACGTTCGCTATCAGACAAAAAGGGGATCGATCCTACGATGCACCCTTGAGGGAGTACACGTCCACAGCATCTCGGCTTTGTTGTATGGAAAACACCAGGGTGAACTTGGACAGCCTCGTCATGTTGCAGACACTGCAAAGCTTCACGAATGATACGGTAAAGATCCAGGTAGGTCGTGAGTTCAGGATCTTTGGCAACGCGGTGTCCTCGACTGTGAAAAATCACAGCCAGCTCATTGAAGGAAAAAGATTGTTCATCATCAGCAAGCCATCGCAGACCTCTGAAAAAGTTCAAACACTCATTCCAGTCTTGGATCTGTCCAGTCCACCTTGCAGGTGGGGCATGCTCATGCGGCACTTTGGGAACCCAGGGAAAAAGCATCCTTGGTGATCCCCACAGCCACTGCGGGAAACGTCTTTGTGCTGACGCAAGGGTGACTTCATCAGGAGGTTTATTTTCGTCAATCTCAACCAACCGATCCGGTTGATGTGTTGGCAGCAATTCATGGAGGTTGATGAGCCACTGTTGATGGTGGATCAGCGCACCACGCACTTTGCTTTGCACCTCTGTGACAACGGGTGCTGATTGATTGGCAAGTTCTTTAGCTGCTGCATCAGCTAGTCTGTTATTTTGAATGCGCTCCAACGTTGTGTGTTTGCAAGATGCTAACTCCTCGGTCAGAATCTCAACTGGTATGCCCTCAAAACAATGGGCGGGGATCCACCGGATCTTGAAGGGGCAAGTACATTGGGTTCTCCTCAGTTCGACGACCTGATGGAGGAAACCCCACCAGTTTGCACAAGCCCAATTGTCATCGGGAAAGCCACCCATGAAAAGCTCATGAGCTTGGTCAACCACACTGCGACAATCGCAATAGATTGTAGTAGGAAATCTAGCACTAGCACACGTAAAAATCACCGCCCAAAGCTCAGCCACATAAGCTGACAAGTTCCAGCGTCGAACAACACCAGTGTAGCGAACATTCTGCTGCTCGTCGACGACAGCGAAAGCTGCACTCGCGATCCAGAATTTGTCAGCATGAATGACCGAACCGTCAGTCCAGACTCTCTCGCAATGCTGTGGATGAAACTCCGGGGCAATGTCGATTTGTCGAATGTCGGAGAACTGCAATCGCCGTTTGGCAACAAAGTTGGGATGAATAAAATGCCCCAACATTGCAAAGTTGCTTCCAAATTCATGTTGAACCGGCAGCCCCAAAAGTTCAATAACTTTGTGGCACTGCATCAAGTGCGGAAGTGACTCTTTCTCTTGCCCGCAAAACCTGCAAGTGGCTGAAGTGACCCAACCTGATGCAGCGAGGCGGTCGTTGGTAAGGGTACAACCGACTAAAATGTTCTCAAGGCGAAGACCCTTTTCAGTCGTCAGCCGCAATTGTGGGTTCTTCGTTTTCAGAAGAAAAGTTGTTTGCTGAAAATCGAAAACACCCTCCGGTTTGCAAAAGTCCTTTCGAGCTTTATGATCAATAGAGGAATAGCAAGCATTCCGAACTATATTCTGCAAGGCCCGTGTTATGGACTTGGGGGAAAGGTCAAACAAGGAAATTGGCGGTGAGCCAAGATAGGAGATGTTGATATCATCATCAACCTGTATTCCAAGCAGCTCAAATGCAGTGCGCAAGCGACAACACAGGCTGTGCGAACAATCCACATTCCAAGTTCGGCGTATTTGTGAGATCGCACATGGCGAGTTGTGGCATAGCCGGACCGTTTCCACAATCGTGAGATACGCACCTGCCAGTATCGGGTCGGTGCGATGAGGCTGAGACAAAAAGCACTGAAGCAGTTGCTTGGACCTCCACATGGGTTGTCGCACCCACAATGCTTTTGCAATCGCATTTTGGATGGACTTCACTGCTTTCTTGGGGATTTTAGAAATGTGCGCCCCGAATGTAAATTGAGGAACTATTTTGCTGCCAATGAGAAAACTACGGATTCTCTTTGGGACAGGGAGCGCCGCAATGTTATCTGTGTCTTCGAGGATCTTTTTCAGCTTGGTTTCCGAAAATGCGAAAGCCTGGCGGTCGGACGTATATATTTTTGTCCCTAACACATCAAGCTCAAGCACGATTGGGAAGGCTGGGAAATCGTTTTTGAGTTTCTTGCGGGCGGCAGTATCAGTTCCCCACATAGATGACTTAGCCTCATTGAGCTTCTGCCCACTCAACATGTCCCAAATCTTTGTGAGCTCAATGGCTTTGGACAGCAGAGCGGCTTGCTGAATTCTACACCATAAATAGGAGTCATCAACATATGCACGCGCATAAATTTCTGGAAGGTGGTCGAGGAGGTGACACCACA